TTTTTAATCCTCTTCTTTCGTGGTTGTTTGATTTTTTCTTTATTTTGTTCAACTAAAAGACGTGGTTTTCCTGGATATTTTCCCATGATTATATATTTAAATTCTTGTTTGGTATAATAATATACTAAACAAGTTTATGATACTCTAAAAACATTACTATTTCGAAGAATTATAAGAATATCTTTTTTGCATGAATTAAAACATTCTAAACATAACACATGATGATGAACAAACATTCCGATATTGTTGAATGTGAACATTGGATTTCTCACATTGTTCATCTGACATGTAGTGATCCCGCAGCAATTATTGTTTATCATCGAATTTGCATTGCAGAATTTTAATTCTCTACACTTGTCACAAACTCGTTTTCCTATATTATCTATATCTGTTATATGTGCTAAGTTTATCCTATTATTTCCGAAAATATATTCATTTATAGGTAAACAATATCGAGTTCCAAGAGTTTTATCATAAAATATCCTCTTTCGTATAAACTCTGACTTCACACACGTGATTTTGTTTATCTTACAGAATTGACATTCTCGTGATATATCACAATAAAATCGACATCGTCTACATTCCTTACATCTTTCATATTTTCCATCAAACACTACTACTTTTTTTTTTCCAACTCCTTCAATCCTTATAAATTTTATTCGTAACGGATTAAATATGTTTAACATATTGTTCACATATCCATTATAGTATCGTGGATTAGATATTACTTTTTGTTGATATATATTCCATAAACCTTTATTTACTTTACCTAATCTATATTGATTTTTTTGATCTGGTAAATCTTCAAATATCTCGATTATTATTTCTAATGATAATGAAAATATGTTTTTCATCTTTGATGAATATTTAATTTCTTTGTTGGTTATATTTATAACTAACAAAGTTACACAAATATTTTATTTCTCACAGATAAATCTTAAACTCTTATGAAATCTTTCTTCGTCTACTTTTAAAAATGATCTTTCACTTAAAGTTATCCACATTGTCTTATCATGAATTGCTCGAATAGTTTTTTTAAAACCAAGCTTTCCAGATCTTTCAAAGAATTTAAACATTAATTCTTTTTTTTTATAAAATCTAAAACATGTTCCTAAATTATATAAAATGATCGGATAACTTCGTTTTATTTGATTTTTTTTTATATGTTTAGGATATGTTTTCTTTATAATAGAACAAAGGCTTTTTTTGTTAAGAATATAATTTTTTTGCTAACATCCTGTCTGATAATCATAAATTTTCTAAAATCATTTCTTGAATAATTACAATATTTTATAAATGATCTGTATCTAATATGTTTTGTCTGTAAGAATGTTTTTAATCTTTCTTTAATATCGTAACTATACCCTTCTTTCCATTCTTCATCCAGATAAATATCGAATGCTTGATCAAATATTCTTTCCATCTTTATGAATAATATAATTCTTTGCTGGTTATATTTATAAC